AATATGTCATTTTCTGCAAGTTTTATGGGGGAAAAGAAGAGCAGCTAGAGACGCACAATTAGAGCCTTACCAAGATCAGGTCTGAAATGGAGTTTGCTCTCTGGCCAGTGAGCAGCCACTGAAGGATTGATATTCTGTACTGTTGCACCCCTGGTTGGGAACTACAGAACATGGGAAAGAGGTATTAGGGGAAAGGGATGATGAGTGCTGTGATCTACAGGTATTATGAGAGAGGCTGTTTAAAGACCCTGTGGAAACCTGGGATTATTATGCTGGCATGTTATAGAGGAAACAGGAGAGAAATATGCTAGAAACCAGCTTTATTTAAGTTGCTTTTCTTGTAAGAGCTTGTTATTTTGTGTGATTTGATTATCATTCCAATTCCTTGTGGTTAGCTGCTGCACCAGCATGCAGTTTCATACATATTTTAGGCTATTTTTCAACATTCTAAGCTAATTATTAGAAAGCCAAATAAAGTCTACTGTGGAGGAAGAGGAAGATCATGACCCCCCCACCTACTCAGAGTATTTTTTACACTTCCCATAAGAGCATCCAAGCTGGAAACTCATGGGAATGGCACTTTAACTAAGTGATCCAAGCTTCAATTTATGTATGCTTTTGATTTTGCAAACCAGATGTTCTCATTTAGAGAACATTTTCCCCTTTTGTCCAGGTACTTAAAGCAGTTTATCCTCTTCTATATCTTTAGGGGGCTTGAGTGACTGATGTACCTTACCCTTTTCCCCAAAAGCTGTCTGTTGTTGTTTGCTGTCTTTCTGGATTTTTTTTTCTCTTCTGGCTGGTTAATTGTTTTGTCTTCTCTGCTGAAGACAGAATATATAATGCCTTTTGATTTCAGATCCTTTTCAGGTAGAGATTGTTCTATTAACCATTTAAACAACTTTTCTTGTCCTTGGCTTGTTGCTGACAAGCTGGATCCTCTACAAAGGTAGAGAAGCAGGGCATTCTGTCTTTTAAAAAGCATAGGATAAGGCCTATATTTGTAGTAAACATTTGTTTTAGGAAAAATAGTACATTTCATTAATATTCTTTGTTTATTCTATTAAGAATGTTTTTGATCTTCCTTTAGTTTCTTCTCTTTTTGTAACCATAACATTTCCACAGCATTAGCGATGCTGATGAATTCCAGAGCTGGCTCTGTTGACTGCTCTTATGATAATGTTAACATGCATAAAATGTGTGGTTAAGTGTACATTTCAGATTGGTTGAATCTCTTCCTGTAAATACTCTCTGTGTGTTTAGATGTAACAGGGCACATTTTATGTCACTGTCATTGAAAACAGCATTTAAACTTAAAGTTTATATGTGCCTACACCTGTATGCCAACCGCATGTCAGTGCTGGGAGGGGAGCCTCCAGTTTTGCCTTGAACCCTGAACCACTCTGAAGAGGCCTGCACCCCTTTCATTTGACACACACGATGGCCTGGGGGCTGTGGCACTAACTCACTCTGGAAGCAGGGCAGACAAAATAACAAAACCTGATAGTTTGTATATAGGTGTGGTTTTACCTACTTTGGTAATTAATCAGGTGTGTTGCTTCTGGTCCTTACTCCTGTACACCATATTTTCAGTTATAAAAGTGTATTGTCAGTGAAGTGCTAAATTCAAAGCATGGTCAGAGAGTACATTTATTTGAGAAAGGCTCTGGAGCAAAATATAGAAAAGTACAGCTCTTGCCTGTGGGTTGACATGATGGATATACTTGCTTTAGGCATATGTGATGGAAGCTCCTCTTACAGTGTCCCTGAGTTCCTCTGGAATTTCTGGTTGCTGAAGGCCTTGGAGATCAGTCCTGCATTGTTCATAGCTGAGATTGTTGTGCACAGTGCTTGGGTTGCACCACAGACATAAAACAAATCTACATTTCAGATAATCTTCTTTATGTTCTAGCCTCTGTTTATGGAACTTTCCAAGCTTTGGACTGGCTTCCAGGATGAAATGCTACTGCTGAACTTCCTCACAAATATGGCTGACAATCTGCAACAATTCTTGGAAATCCAGTCACAGCTTTTTCCAGAGGAAATGCTAACATCTCTTCTGGAAGGAGTGACTGTGAAAAGTGATGTGGAAAGGATAAAAGAAACCATGGGTATGGAAAGTTGAAACTTTGTGGTTTTCCTTAATTTTCCACGATTTTGTAGTTTGAATTTTCTTTACAATAGATCCTTTACAGAAGGTGTAAATATATATTTTTTAATACTCAGAATTTGCACAGTAAATTAAAATAAGCCTTGTAGGTTATAGATTTACATTTTTATGTAGTGTAGCTTGTGATTCTATTTTTACATATAAAATTAAAATAAAACTTCTAGATACAAATATACCTTACAAAAATGGCACAATGATCAGAGAATATTTATAATTTTTTTGTAAAAGTTTTTATGTGTATTTATGTCTTTTTATACCTTTCAGAACTTTGGAAATTGAGGGGTAGGTTGTAAACAAAATAATTTAACAGGGCTTCGTTTACCAGCAGAATTTTTTTGTAAGATGGTATCCCTAGGAACCAAGTTTTATGCCAGGGAGTTTGTAATGCATGTGAGGGTGGAAACAAAATCAAATAATAAAATATTATCTTCTTCTTGTTGTCCCTGTTGGCTTTACTTCTCTCACGTTTTCAAAGAAAACTAATGCTACTAAAGAAGATTCTTGCAGGACTGATTTTCAGTAGGTTCTCTTTTAAGGCAGGACTAAAGTTTGGCTTTTGCGATCTGGGCACTGCAGGTCATCCTGTGAAAACCAGAGTTATCTGGTCATCCTGTAATATTATTAGCTTTTGGTAATCTGATATTTTAATGTTGAAATCCTTCCTCTTTTATCTTTTCTTAGGAAGCAGAGTGAATGTTTCTGATTTCAGGAACCAAGAATGGCTTTTTCCAGAGACGACTGATAATTTTGATCAGTTGCTGATCCAGTACCATGGTTTTTGTGCACATTCTATTGGTGTGAAAGGTATTACCCTACCAGGTATGCTTTGTAGTTAGGTATTTTCCATACTGTATGTTTACACAAGGATTAGGAAAAATGTGAAGGCATTCTGAATGCATCCTCTTATGTCCAAACTGGAATACTGTTTTTCCACATTTGCAATTTTCACCCCAGGTAACTTATTTCCCTTGTTAAAGTATCTTTTTTTTTAAATACACAAATAAACTGCCCTTAGAAGGCAGGATGGCTTGAAGAGGAAGCGGAGCAGAAACAAGATGGGATGGATAAATGTTTCTTCCTGCTCTGTGTGTGTCTGTATAATCTACACTGCAGCTGAATACAGGTTTGGTTACTGTTCATGTGCTATAATGTAGGCATAGGGAAATGGCCATTCCTTCTATTTTGTGCATCCATATGTAGTAAATATAGCCATTCATATGCATTTTTAAATAGCCAACCTCATATGTATTTTTAAATAGTCATGATGAAGTACTAAAAAGCTTTTGGTCTCTGTAGGCTCATTTGTCTTGAAAGTTAGCGTTATTTCAGCTATTCTAGTTCATGTTTTCCATCTCTCTATACTTTCTAGAACCTGTCCATACAGAATTTTTTTAAACCTATGGGAGTTTGAGAGGAAAATATGGCCATTTAATTGTCAGTGTTAAAGAGCAGATATTTTATTGGCAATGTAATTTACTTACACTTACTTAGTATTTCACATGAGAACAGCTGTCCTTAGTTGGATTGAAGGTCTCTCTAGCCCTGTATCTGATTACTGCACATGGACAGTCATGTACAACTTAAAATTATGAGAATTCAAGTCAGAGTGATCTTTCCTTAATTATATCCTTTCTTGTTCTAGCAGTTGGTGGTTATGGGATTTCCTCTGATTAATGTTGAGTCTGTAACGTTCTGTTGAATAATCCTTTAAAGAGATTTTTTGTTCATCTAATTGATTTTGGAATCCATCTAGATTTTGACATGGGATGTTCTTATTCTCAAGAGCCCCACAATTATAATTATATATGCTATGAAAAGGTACCTCTTTTTCAGATGGTTTTAAGCTCTGGCTTGATAATTTCAACAAAGACTTGATAGTCCTTCTGTTAGGAAAATTACTAAATAGTAATTCATGGTTTTACAAAACACAATTCATGGTTTTACAAAAAAATAAGTATTATTCCTTTTTTTCTTTGTAATGCTGAGGAGGCTTTCTTCTTTAACCCCTCCTTCTATGAAAGGTATCACAAGCCTTTGATCACTCCTAGCTCCATTTTATTTGTTGTGTTGGAACAAAAGGTATTATTACAAATGTAGCCTACAGGTTGTTATAATATTGGTTTTCTTCTCTTCCTCTGGTTGCATACTAATAATTCCTTTTTTGACTGAGTATTTTCAAGGCACTGTCTATGATGATTCTGGTCTTTCCTCGGCAAAGACATTTAAGCACAACCTGCCACTGTCCTTGAAATCAGTCTGTGTTTTCCTATATAAGTTATTTGGCCTTTACTGACACTTTATTTTCTCTGTTAATTTGTTGTTCAGTTTCCCAGCTGCTTTATCTGCTTCTTCAGTTCATCTCAGTGTTATGCCCTTTGGTATAAATGCACTAGTGATCTGCAATCAGGTATTTGCTGGAGATTTTAAGGGAAACATTTGAGAGTAGAGACTGGTTTCTTATGCCTTTGCTATATGTGTTTTATCTGTTGTTTTTCTGAGAAATGCACCTAAGGCATGCTGGATGTGAACTGATAAAAAGCAGTTTTAGTGACCTAACAAAATAGAGTTTTCTGTATTTAAAAAAAGCTTGCTTTCAAGGGCTTATACTGAGTTCAGAAATGAAGGAAGTGAAAATAACTTGAGGGAACACAGAATCTTGATTACAAATGTCTTTTGTATTGGATATTATACTGTTCACTATTTTAATTTGTGGTGTTAATTTTGGGTTGGTTTTTCTTCTCATCTTTAGGAAATCCTGCTATTGGAATTTTGAAGCACAACGGGAAATATTATGTTTTCAGTTCAAAAGAAGCTGCATACATCTTTGCTGAAGATCCAGATAAGTTCATTCAGTTGAATGTAGAAAAAGCAAAAGAATATGCAGAACTAATTCAACTGCTTGAGCTCCATCATCAGTTTGAATACCTTGTCCCGCATGCACAGGTACACACTGCGCATGCCTCTTGCTAAACAGCTGCTGGGTCACTGGTTGGTCTGTCCTTTCTAAAAGAGAACATATGATACCCATCTTTAGGAAAGAAGTAAATTCCTCTGCCTATCTGAAGGTCCATCTTTTCCAGGTCTTCAGAGCATTGAAGAAATGTTTCTACTTAGTGTCATTCTCACCTTATCTCTTCATAGGTGAATATGTAAATCCAAGGCATTCTGGCAGTGATAAAAGCTGCTAGTCCATAGCCTAAGCAGGTCTTGTGTCTGGTGTTTCTTTTCCTCATTTTTGCAAAAGTAGCTTAAAGGACCAGTAACTAAATGCAACAGAAGATATGTCAGATATCAAGTTAAGCGGAGCTTTAGCTCAGCAGTCCATCCATGTGCGCTGGATGAGGGTGTAGTTGTATCTGGGGACAGGAGTTATGGAACATACTAAAAAATAAAAGGAGAGTCATCAATAATGAATGTGATGTGTTATTATGTGAAATCTAGAGACTTGATTTGGATTTATAGACAACATTCTCTGTGATCAACTTGTGAATTTTAGATTCCTAGCAGTGGAAAGAATGTAGTCTTGAACTGGCCCTTGGTTTGAAATATAGTTTATGTCCCAGCTATAGCAGAGATGTGTGCGCTTCTCCCAGTTATGATTTGTTATTTTTAGTCCATTTGTGAAGACAAACTGAGGTGCCTGCATTACAAAATACTGCTGGTGATAGGACCCATTTTTCTAAAATCCAACAATTATGCAATTGCTAGGTAGAAAGGAGCCTGCAGCTCATCTGTGGCCTCTGCCTCATAAGTTTTCTGTAAGAAATTAAATTCATCAGGTACTTAATGTTTTCCTTTTAGTGGGGTCATGAAGAGCAAAAATATTGTTGAATGTAAGAATCATTATCCACTTGTGGTTTGCAGGTCTCTATTTGCTTTTTAAAAGTAGTATACACATATCCTATTTCTGTGTATTCTTCTTAATGCCTTGCTTGGCTTTGGTTGTTTCTTTTCATCCAGGCCAGAAAAGCAAGCAAAAGTTCGATGAAACCACCCCCAAAATGTGAGAGTGGTACTCAAACTGATACTCATATCTTGCCTCCAACTATTGTGACATCCTATGAATGGAATGAATGGGAACTGAGAAGAAAAGCTATAAAATTGGTTAGTACTGTTATTACCAGACTTTCATTGTTGGATATAACAAATTTGTGAATAAATTATTCTTAACTTTTGTTCCTTGAAACATAAATCTAACCTTTTGTTCAAAGACATATACTTCATTACAACTGGCTCAATTTTTTTCTAGATACTCTCTCTCCTTACTTTTACACTTCTTCTCTCACTTCTTACATATGTTTCCCTGTTTTTTGAGCAGTGCTTCCACTGCTATGTCTATTAATTTCAAATTTTTCGGTTGCCTTCTTTATGTAATAAGAGTTTGTTGTTTTGAACTGAATTGCATTGAATATTAAGGTTGTTCTACATTCAAATCAATTTAATGGGTGAAAGATACTACTGTATAATTTCTTTGTGAAAAAAAGCCAGAGCAAATGTTTGTCATACTATCAGGATTTTCTGATGGATTGGAAATCACAGTCTGTCCATAGAAGGTTGACCACATTTTAAATTAACAGTAAATATGTCAGAAGCTTCTTTCTAGGGTTTGCCAGCACATGCAGTTGTCAAGGTATAGCACCTGATTTTCAGAATTCAGCAATGAACAACTTGTGAGTACAGAGAATATTGCAGTTAACAATATCAACTGAACATATAATACTAAAGAGGTTTCTTTTCTTCTGTGAACAGATGCACTGTGGAGGCTTGTGATCTATTGGGCAGCCTATTTCCTTTCTGTTTTCCTTTTTGCCATGAAATCTCTAACATTATGAAAGGAAACCAAAATTTTGGACTGAGGAGTCTTGCCAGTGTTGCTAGCTCATAAAGGATTCTAAGAAATAGTTGTTACTGAGGTATATAAAAAGCCAATTAGGTTTACAAGGAGCTTAACTAAAAGCCCCTTTTGCTTTTGTAAAGGACAAAACTACATAAATAAACATAAGATGTGGTCAGTGTCTCTTCAGCATAAGCAAAAATGGATATTTTCCAATATCTGGTAATGAAGACCATTCACAAACAAATTTGTAGCTCATTAGTTTGAAATATTTAGAGAATGTTCTTTAAAGTACTAAGGGTGTTTTAGCCTCAGCTGTCCAAATATGAGATTAGTGATGTGGAGCTGAAAGAAAAAATCCAGATGCATGCAAAAGTGCTTTGACTACGCTGATTTGTAATATGGAGGTGATAAAACATTTAGTAACAGTGTGATAAAATAACAGAAATAGTTTACCAGTGCATCAATTAATTTGATACTTCAGGGAAGCATGAGACATACTTGTGGGTTTTGTTAGAGGAATGAGCTCACGTGCCTTTGGGGTTTTTTGTGTTTTTCATACTTGGCTAAAAAACTTCTAGTGGTATGAAATGTTAAGCTATTCCTTTGTTAGAAAACCTATATGCTATTAGAAGTAAAAATTTTAGCTTACATTTGTTTCTTTGTGCAAGCACAGTTCCTTATAATTGCATACATTCAGTCATTAAAACCTCAGAAAAAAAATACTTAATATATTGTCTTCCCATGCCATCTCCTCTGTAAGTTCCTTACTGTTCTTTGCTGGATTCTGCTTGATGACTCTGCATGTAAGATTCAGTTATAGATTAAGGTACCAAAATGTGCCTACATTTAGGTGCTTCACCTTCCATTCCAGCAGAGAGAGGCATCTCAGTGGTGGAGGCTGGAGAATATTTTAACTTGCTCTGATACAACATTTAGGACATTTGGCCAGCTGTATCACTCTCCAGCTTCCACCGACTCCAGTCTTCACTGACTGGACTGGACTCCAGGGACTTTCTCACTTACATGGAAGGGTCTGAATTCCAGCACATGAGACTGTATTTTGAGGAGAACATTATATCATAATTTATAGTGTTTTACATTGTTGCTGACATAGAAGGCTCATGGAGTAAGGAACCATTTTTGTTTCAAGTGCTGGCTTTGGAATATTAACACTTTGTGAGAAGTAGTTTTGTTCGTGTACCTATGACAATTTCTGTGAATAACCAGCTTTAATCATAAATTACCCTTTTGCCCCTTATGAAGGGGTTAGTAATGTGGTGTAAGAAGGCATTTTTAAACTTTTATCTGATACTTTGTGACATCAACCCCTAAACCTCATAACTTTTGGCAGAAACCGAAGACTGGAAGCACTTAACCATGAAAACATTTCATTCTAACAAAACAACAGTGAAGCATTTAACAAAATTTGAAGGACAATGACCAGTGGTATGAAATTATTAAAAGACTAATTTAAAATTGGGTGGGGTACCTAAAGCGCTGTTCACACATCCTGTTAGATCAGGATTTGCCAAATCACAGTCACAACTGTGTATTGTCAGGAAGGTAAGGTGGGCCATGTTCCAGGTTTGTGAAGCCCATGGATGTAACACAGGCAAACACTCCTGAGTATATACTGGAGTTAAAATGTTCAAATAAAGTTTTGCTTAATCTGATTATTTTTGTGTCTTTAGGCCAACTTGCGCCGCAAGTTAACTCATGCCATGCAGACTGATCTCAGCCACATGAGAAGAGAGAACTTCACCCAAGTGTACTTGCCAAAAGATGCTGGCACCCAGACTAAGCGTGACAACTCAAGCAATGTACCCAAACCCCAGGTTTTCTTGAAAGGTCTCCGAGGAGGATCATCTCCCACTACTCATATGGTCACAGTAGACTTAACAAGACCACTGGATGAAACCTGAGTGAAAATGAGAAACCTGAAGACACATCTTGAATGTACATATAAAAATCCCTGAATACATCTGAATTTAGACACTAAAGATTTTTCTGTGTCTGTTGATTCCAGGAACAGTTGGTCTGTTTCATTTATCTTATCTGTTGGGACTGCTGACTGGCATTATGTGACAAAAGTGATAAGCCTGAAGCACAGATTTTAAATAGGAATTTAGGATCAAGTTGTTCCCGAGGACTTTCACTTCCAACATTTAAATATGTAGCATTCTGGGATTTTACTGAAGTTTGAATGCAATAATTGCTTGTTGAAATACTGTCTTTGAATGAAAAACCTTACCCCAGGAGAGTTACTCAAAGGTCACAGCTCCAGCCTTAGAGCAGAATTGTCAAGAAGGCAAAACCAACAAAATGAAACCAGTCTGGGTCCTTGGGCTTGTCCGTTTGCGCTGGTGTTAACCCAACCCAGTGAGTGTAGATCAAGGCTGGGAGGTTGAGAAGAGGGCGTCTGTCTTGGGTGGTTCTGGCACCCTTTTATGTCTCTAGCAATTTCTTGGCTAAACAGTGTACTGGTGAGCACACTGCAAACCATAGGAACTTGACTTCAGGAGACCTTTTTGAAACCTCTGTTTTGTTTGTGTTTGAAAACCTACAGCACAACAGAGAAAGTTTTTAGCTTTATGTCATTATGGCAAAGAAATATGTGCCAGGTCTGATCAATGCAACTGCAGATGGTATTTCTGTTTGTGAAAACCCAAATTATTTGAGCTTCAGGATGAAACATCTCAAATGGAAATGGGGTACCTTAAAACAGATTCTTTTGTTGACAATAAAGACTTCCTCGAGCTGCTATCTGCACAATGTCCAGATGCACAACTGTGATTGCATAGGGTGTGCTAAGGTTTCTAAATCTCTTTTTTTGTGTGTGTGCATTGTGATGCAGTGTGGTTTCCTGGCTGTAACTAGACAAGCTTGTGACAATGAAGCTTGAAGATTCAAGCTACTGAGTGATTTTTCTGTGGCATTGTACAGGATAGCATTCTTTTGTTGTTTTTCAAGGTATCTGGCTTCACTTTTTCAAGTTACACAACGGGGACAAATCACTAAAGCATTATTTAAAAAAACCCAAAGGAGCGTGAGGGGAGCACTAAGCAAGAACTTCATTTTTGACTACATGATTTCCTCTTTTGGGAAAATAAACTAATCAATAACAGCTAGATGTGCTGCTCCTCCATGTTTTTAAATTATGAGTGGGCACCAATTATTAGATTTATTAATTAAAGTATCAGTGTGATTACTAGCATCATCTCTTTTTTTTTTTTTTTTTCCCAGAGAAAAATACCCTGTTGCTCCTTTATATTGCTGTGATCTCTCTATATTGTCATAATTTGCTTTTAGGCTTTTATTTTATTGTTCTTACAAACAAACTGGTATTTCAAGAATCCAGAAATACCTTTTATTTAAAAGTAAACCGATGATTGAAATTTCATTTTATCCTACTTTGATATTTTCCACTGGAGGAGGTTCTGCAGTGCTGTAAAATTCTGGGGAATACAATTGTAATCTCCATCTCGGTTTTTCTCGCGGCAGAAACGTGTCAGTGGCTACGAGCTTGCTCCTGGCAATGAGAAATACGTGTGTGAGATTCCTGGATGTTGGCTGCCAACGAACCAGTTCCGAAATGCGGCGGGGTGGAGCCGGATGCTCTCCAGGATATCCAGGCGGGACGGAGCGCGACTCGATGGTTCGGCGCGGGCGGCGGGGCGCTCTGGGCGGCCGCGCCGCACTCTATGGTGCGATGGGAGGAGCGGCGGGGCACGGCGGGCGGCCCCGGCCCGGCGGTCCTGGAGCCTTCGGCGAGCACCATGACGCCTGCGAAAGGTAAGGGCGACGGCGTGGGGCGCCCGGCGGGTCCCGCGGCTCCCGGTGGGAGCACGGCCGGAGAACGAGGACAATTTCCACCCGTTTTCCCGAGAGGAAACGCGACCTGCGCGCAGACTCCCCCTGCCTCCCCCCTGCCAGAGGGAGTGGAACTGTCCTCCCCGCTGGGGCTGTGGCGCCGGACGCCACCACGGCGGGAGCGAAGGGGGGGAAGGGGCTACGCGGGGTCGCGCTGGGGAGGGGCTCTCCCCGCCCGCTTTCCCGCCCTGCCGCTCTCCTCCGCCGCCCCGGAGCCTCTCCCCGCGCTGTGGCGCCGCTGCGCCCCCGGCGTGTGGGCGGCGGGTGCTCCCGGCACGGGGCTTGCCGGGGCCCCGGAACGCCTCCGCCTTTAGGATCCGCCACAGTCGCGTCTTCCCCGCCACCAGTTCCCCTCTGGGAGCGTCTGACTGTGGCTCAGCATCTCTGGGTCTTATCCCGGGGGCAGGCGGCCAGTGCACAGGGACATCCCCTGCACCCACCCTGGGGGAAACGCCGCCGCGCCCAGGTTCCTACTGGAGTGTGTTTAGGTTGGACATCAGGAAGAATTTCTTCCCAGAAGGGATGATTAGTTGCTGGAATGGACTGCCCAGGAAGGTGGTGGAGTCACCATCCCTGGAGATGTTTAAGGAAAGACTGGATATAGCACTTAGGGGCACGGTGTAGTTCTCTTGGTGGTGTTCGGTCACAGGTCAGACTCGATGACACCAGAGTCTTTCCCAACCTGATTGATTGCCCAGTTCTCAGGGATTCTGTGTACAACGAGGCCAGAGCCCGCACGGGCCCGAAGGCAGAACCTGGGGCCAGCTGGGAAGGTGCCAGGATGCCTGCGCCTCTCCAGCTCTCCCATGCCGTGCCCAGGACTCCCCAGCTCGGGCAGGGCCTGGCAGGTGAGGGGCAGAGGCTCCCGGCCGTGTGTGCCAGGTGCCTGCCACCCCAGATAGACTGGCAGGCAGCGGCTGTGCTCCCCTGCCAGGCTTGGCCCGGGGCTGCCTTCCAGGAGCCCTGGCGGAGCCCTGAGATGAGCTGTGGAAATGTGTGGGAGGCCCGCACTTTTGTCCTGAGGCTTTTGGCCTGTCTGGTCCCTTTTTGCCAGAAATCATTTCAGCCAGGTGGGATTTACTGGGAAAAAAAACAAAAGCTTTTTCCAGCTCTTCTTTTCTTTAGGCAGGTGTAAGTTCAGATTTATCAGCAGAAGTTATGTGTGCCGCAGCTGTGCTTTCTTCCGCTCTCCTCGCTGCACTGGTGCTGATGCAGACATGGGAGCCAGGCTGAAGAAAATTCAGGCTGAAAAGAATTAAAAATACCTTTTTACATAATGCTGGAACTATCTAGTCTAGATACTAGATTTGTTACGTCTTGATGCCTTTGGTTTACCCAAGTTTCCAAAATATTGCCAAATTGGGGCTTTTTTTTTTTTTTAAAGAGTAGTTACTAGAGGCAAGCATTAAGTTTAGCTGTAGTTTAGTGGTACATAGACTTAAAATCTTTATGTGTCAAATCACAGCATTAATATAATTTCTGTCAGTACTGAAACATCATTTGAAGATACGTTTTTGTAAAACCAGATGGGGTTAGTTATATTTCCTGGTTGTTATGCCCTTGTATTTCCTCCCCGCAGTCCAAATTTAATTTAAAAATGGGTTACAGTTTGTAAGTCTCTTCTAAGCATTGTTAGTCCAAAAACTAATTGGCTCTACCTTTTAAAAGTGGTTACTGACGTGGGTAAGATTTTTATCTATAAGGAAGTAGCTAATTTAAATGATTGCAGTGGCGGGCGGTATTAACTGTACCTTGCGGAAATGTTATGCAATTGAAGACATCTCTAGCTTGAAAGAAACATGAACAAAAGCATTGGTCTCACTGGATTCAGCAACTCATTCCTTTATTAAATGATCAAAGTTATTATAAAACTGCTTATCCTGTATCTCGTTTCCTAATCAGCAGAGGAACGCAAACTTACACCAATTAAAACACATTTCTTTAGGATATTTAGAACATGACAGTGGCCCCAAAGGTGCTGCTGAATGACCAATACCCGCCAGAGAGATGCCAAACATAACAATCTACCAGTTTGAAAAAGGATTTTGTAGAAGCCACACATTTGCTGATGTCTCATGTTGGGTCTTACCTTCGGGCAGAGAAATCCCATTTGGAGTTGTGTGCTGTTTTCTTAGCTGGTTTAGATGCAGACTTAGCCATTCCCTGACCTGGGAATGCACTGGAGTGTGCATTGTCAGGCCTTAGAGGAGTGCAGATGGATGAGAAACTGCCTTGTTCCAGGGGACCTTGGACAGGCTAACTCCAAAATTTTGCAGGATAGTAGCTGGCCCAGGTCCAAGTTGTTACAAGTATTGCTACTGTTGTAAGAGTATATCAGTGGGGAAGACAGAGGGGATAACAAATTATACACCTTGTGTGGTTTAATTTACTGGAAGAGCTTAACCTTAGGCCTTTCTACAGGGAATTTTTCTAGAAAGCCCTTTGTGCGAAGTCCCATCACCATTCAGAGCAAAATCTTCGTCTTTTACTAACTTAGGTTGAAAATAGGGCTGATGGAAATGCTGCGTTTTTTATTAAGATTTGCTAGATTTCTTTGCTTATATTGAACTTCTCTCATTTTGCTTTTGCTAGTCTGCCAACATTCTGTGTCAGAGTTCAGTATATTACATGAAGATCAGCTGCCATTTCAGAGCGAGCACCTACTGTCAGCTAAAGAGCATGAAAATTATTTTTGATTGTTATTAGATAAATATTAATACTTTTTTCTAGAATGAAGGATGATTACAGGGGCAAGAGAGCATCTCATTTTCAAACATTTGGAGTTTCTGTACAAGCTTCTTTGAGGTGGCTGTAAAATTTAACCAGATTTTTTTAATGGAAAGTGTTTCCTAACATTGTAATTATTGTCTGCTGACACAGTAGTGTTTGATACATCCCTCCAGCTGGAGAACACACTGTGTGAGTTCTTAAATTAAAATGGGGGTCATGCTGAGTCCTCTCCTCTGTTTTGTTTCAGAAAATGTCAGCTTGCTGTTCAAGCTGTACTGCCTCACAGTGATGACCCTGGTTGCTGCCACGTACACGGTGGCACTGCGGTACACCAGGACAGTGGAGACAGAGCTCTACTTTTCCACAACGGCTGTGTGTGTCACTGAAGTTATCAAGTTGTTCCTGAGTGTGGGCATCCTGGCTAAGTAAGTGTGGGAGTGCTGATCATTGTTTTGAAAACCAGTCCTAACCTCAGATTCTCGGGCCCTGAAGTGCAGGTATGTTTGAGAACGTGGCTAGATAATGGTGTTGTGGAAGGGTAATTTTAGAGCAGGTTAGAGCTTGTGAGCCCACATCAGCTGAAACTGCTCTGTATACAGCACAGTATTCAGGTGTATCCTTTCTACATATTTTCTATTTTTGTATGCTTTGGAATCAGTTCATAGTGTCAGCAAGGATTATCCATGATGTTTTAGTCTTTAAGATGTTGGTGTAGGTGAAAGTCAGACTTTCATCATCTGCTATGAGCCATCATCTGCTGAGTTACATAAAATTCTAATGTTCCTACGAATAAATTTTCCCAAACAATGTTACAGACAGACGTTTTGCTGTCTCTAATAATCTGCAAACCAATGCTGAAAGACTGATCAAAAAACATTAGCTTCTGTAATCCCAGACTGCTGCTAAGAACTAGAACTTTAGTGCATGCATGAGCATCTCAAGTAGGGAGGTTATCAGTCTGCTTCAGCTTCCCTCTGCTACATCCTTCCTAGGAAGAATCTTTACATTCTGAACTTTTCCAAAGCCCAGTTCTTGCTGCTGTGGTAGAATTTGTCCTTTTAAGGTCTCTGTCTCTCTTTGTGGTTTGTGGTACATCAGAAGGCTGGCTGTTATGTGCTAGAGGATCATGGAGTCACATGATATACTTCAGATTTTCACCAGCTCTTTTCCTCTTAACACACAAATGACATTTTACTCGCTTTAGAAGTGAAGCAATATTTGAATTTGTTAAGGCAACTGTGACAAACTGCCTTTTTTTTTTTTTTTTTTTTTCTTTTAGCCTTTCATTAAATGGAATGTGTTAGAGAAGGGAGGTGAGACCAGTGGGGAAATCTGTTTTTCTTTACATACACCCAGGACTTTTCCGTCAGCACAAAATTCTGGCAGAAATGACTCTGCTGACACATGGTTCTGCTGTGGTTCTCACTGCTGTAACAAATGAGGATCCCACTGGCTCTCTGGAGGCTGTAGCAGCCCATGCTTCCCAATAGTGAGGGTAGAGGGCTGTCTCTGGATAGCCTCACCTGTGTGTAATTTGTCAAATCTTGTGCGCCTGAGACCCAGGCTGTTTATAGTACACCTAGTGCAGCAGGGTAAGCAATCCCTTTTGTTAAAGGTCTGTAATATTTTGTTCATTAAATGTATGAATGGTCTTTTTCACTTGAAATAATTAAAAAACTAAATTACTTTTAACTCAGAAAGAAGTCTTAGCATGTTGATGTTTTTAGAACAGCCCTGCACAGCAAAAAGTCTCTGTAGCCCATTATCTTCCCTTTGTCAGCAGAGGATGTGTAGAATGGAAGTGTAGCCAAGGGGGCAAGCGTGGGCTGAACTTTCCTTAGCTGTGGCAGAAACTTATGGATCCTATTGTCTTGTGTTGACAAATAGGACAAATAATCTTTCCTCGTCTATTTTGCTTTTTGTAACTCTACAGACCTGTGTTTTCATCACCAATTTATTTTCTAAGCCAGGAGCTCTAGTTTAATTTTTCTGGGATCATCATAGTACCCATCCTTCGAGCATTTCTAGTATTGATACATCCCTTTTGAAACAGGATCCAGAGCTGCATGCTGTATTCAGGATGTGAATGTGCTATGGCATTAGGCAGAGGGATGAAGGTGTTTTCTCTCTTGGCCTCAGTTCCTTTCCTAAGGATTTTGCTCATTTCTCTGAGGCTGCTCTGAGGCAGCTTTCTCATGAAGCTGATGCCATGCTTGAGCTCGTACCATCCAAGAACTACTTGCATCTTTTTGCCAGGTGCTCAAAACTAGATGAGAGAGGGTTGCTGTATATAGGGGTGGCCATTTCCTATGGTTCTTTCTCATTTATTGACACCTGCACCTTATTTACCAGTTAAAATGGGAAGAATCAGATTCACTGAGCTGTTTGGATGTTGTTATGTCTATTCTGATCTGGTCAGCTGGTGGGGTTTTTCTCTTCATAGCTGAGGGAGAGATGGGCTCCAGCAGACACCATTCATGCTCACCTGTCCTTGGTACTGTGTCTGGCATGCAGGCGGGTCCAAAAGTTGTCAACTTTCTGATCCTCCTCTTTCTGATCACTTATGAATATGCTGAACAGCATAAATTCCAGCACAGCTTCTTTCTGTGTCTCCTTTACAGCTTCCTTCAGTTTTAAATCCTAACCAATTTGTCTCACCCAAGGTAGGCTGCCTTTGTAGTTCAGTAAGCAGTCCTGTTTTTTTACTGTATAGCACTATACATTTGTGTGGGTACCTTTTCTTTTTGAAAGAGATAGTGTTGGTAACTGCAGTATACAGGATACTAGAGTATAACTCTTCCACTGTTCCAGCTGCCAAATTTGTTTTCTTACACATTATTACATGATGCCTTCATTGTTTACTCTTAAGGCATCTCCTGGAGGGCATATTGAATGGATGAATGCCAAAGAATTGTCTTTCGAAAGAGAAGCTTATGATAGTTTAAGCTGTGCTAATTGTTAACTGAAATATTCCACTTCTAATGCTTATTTAAAGTCCTGTTCACCATCTGGTATTAGCATTTGCTACATTCTTAGCTGGCACATAACTACTTACTAATGGATGAAGGAAAGCAGAGCTGTTTTGCAAACTCTAGTTTTAACTTCAGCTTTTCTAACAAATGTGTTTTTCTGTTGCATAACTGATAGCTATTAGTATCTCTCACCTCTTCATACCTGGAAATTGGCTTTGTCAGTGGGGTAATGGATTTATGGAAGGGGAAATGGCTTTAAAGTGAAAAAAAAAATAGGGTTAGGTTAGATATTGGGAATAAATTCGTCAGTGTGAGGGTGGTGAATCTCTGGAACAGGCTGCTCTGAGATGTGGTGGATGCCCCATCCCTGGAAGTGTTCAAGACCAGGCTGGATGGGGCTTGGAGCAAACTGGTCTTGTGGAAGTTGTCCCTGCCCATGGCAGGGAGGTTGAAACAATATGGTCTTGGGGTCTCTTCCAACCTAAACCATTCTACAAAGAAAATTGATTATGTTTTAAAATTCAAACCTATATCAGCATCAAGAAAGCTGAACTCAAGCTAGATAATTTTTTATTTTCTAATTTGATCTTGTAGTGTACAAGATCATTTTTTATTTTTTAATTTGATCTTGCAGATTCTTTGGGCACCTAGTTTTGCATTATCAGCTGTATATGGAGGCTTTAAGTTATTTTTTGGCCATGTACTGAATTCAACTTACAGTTAGAGATTCTTGGTATGTGCATACTTCAGAAAGCACATCCACTGCACAGATGAACTATTAGATAGTTTATCTTCTCGTTCTCAAAATCTAAAGGGAAGATGGTGATTATTAGACACGTTATTCTTTGCTGAAATTTTGTTCTTGAAGTGAAAGTAGACAGAAGTTACTATTGCTGCTGTGACTTTAAAAATGTGATCAGCAAATTCACTGAGCATGGTCTGGAAGAGAAGCAGTTTAAATATTATTTTAAATATTATTTTAAAATTATTTTAAATATCGTTGACAGCTCACCTTAGTATCAATGAATAGAAGAAGTTATTACTGCATGGTATTTTTTTTACTTCGTATTTTCATAGAGTAGAACTGTGTCTATGCTAAATACATTTTATTTTCAGTTAGACATTTGAGTTAAAAGCACTTTAGTCCGGCTGTACTTGAGTATTACCCAATTTTCTTGTACATCTTATCTCCCAGTCCTAGAAATGTAATAAACACATTCAGAATTGGAACAAACCAAAAATTTGCCTGTAATATCAATGACTCCTAACATTTTATACATTTCTGTATCTAGTGCAGTTAACCATGGTGAGCTGTAGCATGAAATCTTCCCCTTTCTTGTATTGCAGACTTCACTTTAAACGCTATCTGTCCGTGGATTTTCTTGTCATGGTTATTCACTGTGGCCAGACATGTCTGGTTTTTTGTGTGTTCTTTCTGTTATGGAAAAATACAAAAAGAATCCCTTGCAGCTGCCTATATAACGACTTCTCTCCCTACAGGGGAAAATAAAAGAGGAAAAGAAAGTATATGCTAGGTGCAAGTAGGGAGGAAGGCAAGGAAGGAGAGAAATTTAGGTGGAAGGATCATGACAGGGTAAAGTCTATAATCTTCAGAGAGGAAAAGCTGAACAACTGGAGTACGGAGTCAGTGGCTTATCAGGAAAGGAAAATATGCTGAAATAAGGTAGTTAAAGCTATTTATTCATACAAATGTGTAATAAAACCACAAGGACAGTTAAATTTAAAAGCAGTACAGTTTACGAGTTGAAAGGCCTGTGGGAGGGGGCAGGAATGATTTTGGATGTTGGTATTTGTCAGTGCTAAGCAAGAGAGGATTGGAAAAGGGGGCCGTGGGAGAACTGGGAAGAGGACTGGAGCAGCAGCAACAAGTAAGCAGCAAATGTCATATTGATGTACAAGTGATAAGGGAGAGCCAGTAATGCCCAGGGCAGCTGTGAAAAGCTGAGTAGCAAATTGCAAAAGCAGCCAGTAGCAACACGTTCTTCCCCATTGCCTGCTCTGTCAAACATTGTAATTACTTGAAGGAGAGGTGTGAAATGCAAAGACAGGGACAGGAGACAGGGAGCCCCCACACATCCGTCAGACCTTTTCATGTGTGTGCTGGTGCTGGTCCAGTATCTCCCACAGCACAAGTGAGAATGAGAACCCATGGCTGACTGAGGAGTGAGAGGTTTTTCTAGGTAAGTAGCGTGCAAGGGTACAATCCTTTTTTGACTGTACTGTGAGGCCTAGTTTAAATTTTCCCATGGACAATCATGGGCATTTGACATCAAACACAAACATTAATACCCAGTAAAAACGGGGAGATGTGAACAACAGCCTTCTGTTCCACTGCCTATATTGATACACTGCTGCACATTAATGCATCTAACTTCCTGATTCCAGAATGTCTCTCTCATCTTGTTGAAAACCTCACTTGTTTTTTTCTTTTATGAGCAGAAAGTACAACTGATTGTGGAAGACAAATTTTCAGCTCTCCCAAGGGATTAATTGATTTGATTTCTGTTTTAAAATACCAGTTTAGGAATGCCCTCCATTATGTTAATATTTTATTTTGCAGAGAAACTGGAAGTCTGACAAAGTTAATAACATCTTTAAAAGAAAATGTATTCGGAAGTGCTAAAGAATTGCTAAAATTAAGTGTTCCATCTGTGGTGTATGCTGTCCAAAACAATATGGCGTTCATGGCTCTTAGCAACTTGGATGCTGCAGTCTATCAGGTAATACAGGTTTCTGTCAGTAACAGACCTGGAAATATATTTCTCTTTCCTGGTTCATTAGGCACGTGTTTCATGCACACAGCACTCTCTTCAGCCTCAATGTTAAAAGGGGAACTGTGTTTTGTTCTATTCAGAGCATACACTCTGCTGCAGAGCTCTGGCTTTCTGAGCCAAGCCACTCACTGCTACAGTCCCTTCAAATTCACGTTGTTGTAATTGGAAATGGATATGTAGGAAATCAATTAATATAAAAACCTGTCATTCTGTAGTTGAATTTTCTATTTTATTTTCTTCTTTTGGAGGAGTTTATAAAACCATGTCCTCTGCACTACATTCCCATCTTTTTTAGGTGACGTACCAGTTGAAGATCCCTTGTACAGCTTTATGTACAGTCCTGATGCTGAACCGTACCCTTAGTAAGTTGCAGTGGTTCTCTGTCTTCATGCTGTGTGGTGGTGTTATCCTTGTTCAGTGGGAGCCTGCTCAGGCTACAAAAGTACAGGTAAGAGCTAAAATTTTCCCTCTGCAGATAAAGATTAAATGATCCTTGATCCTTGGCTTTCACTTTTGTTGTGTACCAGTTCAGGCAGGCTTGTGCTACGGCTCTGGTCTCACTTGTTGGAAATGCAACAGGTTGCTACAATTAGTGTAAATTACCACAGCAATCATAATCTAATGCACCATCCTAGGAGTGTCTGAGTAGATTGTTTCCAGCAGTAGGCCTTGGTAACATTGTAATTGTTGGAACAGAGAACTTGGAATCAAAGCACTGCAAAGAATTAGGAGCAAAACTCCAGCGTACTGTGGGTATGTCATTTAAACACACCCTTCAGATGCACTGACCTAATACTGTTGTAGGAGAAACAAGTGTCCTCTGTTCCTTAGGTCATAGCTGCTGCTCAGCTGCATTAGTGGGAAAGATAGGTCATGCCTCTGGGAGCACTGGCCACAGCCAAGCAGACAGTACCTCTGAGCACTGTGGGAGCACCTACAGAAAGTGGAACACCACACAGCTGCACTGGGCTGATCTGAGTGAGGGACAGCCCTACATCAGCAAGGGCACGTGGTACTGCACTGAAATGCTAATAATTTTGCTCTGCATAATGAAGTAGCTCTGTGCTCTGGTTTTGACTGAATAGAATTTAAATTTCTTCCTAGTAGCTGTTTCAGTGCTGTGTTTTGGATTTAGTATGAGAACAATGTTAGACTGGTGTTTTAGTTGTGGCTCAGTAGTGCTTAACCATGAGTCTAGGGCTTTTCAGTGCTCCCTGGTGTGCCAGTGAGGAGGAGCACAAGAATCCAGGAGGGAATATGGGCAGGACAGCTGACCTGAACTGGCCAAAGGGATATGCTGTACCACAGAATGTACACCCACTATGGAAAATCAGGGAATTTGGTCAGGAGGGGCTGATTATTGCTGCAGGATGGACTGGGCATCTGTCAGCAGGTGGTGATCAGTTACTCTGTGCCTCACTTAGTTTTCTTGGGTTTTATACCTCTCTCTCCTTTTGTTAATACTAGAATTATTAGTAATTTTTATTTTGATTTAGTTATTAAACTGTGCTTATATCAACCCATGAAGTTTACCTTTTGTTTTCAATTCTTCTCCCCACTGTGGGGCTTGCGGAGAATGGGTGAGGAGCTGGGAGGTGCTTAGTTGCTGGCTGAATTTAAATCACAGCACTCTGGAATTGATTATTGTGAATGACTAAATTTTTGTATCCTTTTTAAAATAATGGTTGATGTTGCAGGTGGAGCAGAACCCATGGCTAGGGTTTGGAGCGATTGCTGTGGCAGTGTTTTGTTCAGGATTTGCAGGTACAGTATTATTTCTGTATGTGGGCTGTATCTAAAGGACTGGAGAACTCACAGTGCTTAAAACTGAACATTCTACATTTGCTAACTGTCTTCCTCTAATAGTTCATTCTCTCTGCCCATAATTGTCTTCTACTTTTGGTAATTATGGCAGATTCATAACATGATTACTCCCATTGTCAAGCAAATGATAGGAGCATGTACCATTGGTTTTACACTATGCAACATAGAGGGCTAGTTTGCAATTGGAAGTGTCTTTCAAATGCTGTGAATAACACTGTAGGGAGCAGCATAATGACTCACTTCATACATTTAATTAATGTACATCAATTTTATAAAGTTTACTTTGCAGTGAATAGCTCCCCTTTGGTGATCACATGAAATACTTGCATTTTTTTACAAGGGGAACTGAGCTCCTTGCTCAGTTCTTGTACCAGCTCAGCCTTGAAATACACATTGCCACACTTCTGTTGGTGGAAAATCTAACTGGGATGTAGAGGGAGCATGAGGAAGGCAGAGGGTTAGAGTAGTATCAGGAAGCCTGGATAAACTCAATGAAGGATTTTTGGTTTTGTTTATTTTTGCTTTGTTCTAAAACCAGTGTCTCCCCTCAGTGTAGTTTTTTTCTCTGGCTTCTGGAGGACACCAAAACTTTGGGACAAGTGAACTGGTTTTCAGAAATAAAGAAATGCAAATTACTTGTTAATTTGAAATTTGGCTCACAGGGGCATATTCCCTTGACTGTAAACTGGATTCTTCTTCTCTCCTCTGTAACAAAAAGGTACTATCACCCACCTCTAGTACTGGAAAATCTTGCAAGAATGATCTTGTGCTGTGTGTACATGCTCATTACTCATGGAAAAACATGGTGGGTAGAGGAAGAGAGTGTCATTCTTATTTGGTGTTGTTTCAGTAAAATAGCCACTTTGAAGCAGAAATACTAAATAAAACTGTGCAGAGCTCAGTCAGCTTTTCCTGCAAAGTTATGAATTTCCTCATTAAAATAGATGCTCCAAAGCTGCAAGACAAAATGCAGCCTTCAGAGTCTCCTAAAACTCCTGCTTTCCCCAATAATGTGGGTCAACAGCTGTGCTTCCAAAGGTTTGCAAATTCAGAGAGCATGAGACACTTAGGGCTTTCTTCTCCTGCAAAAGGATTGCAGCTTGGGTTTCCTTGCTGACAGCTGAAGCTCTGGGGCAGCTGGGAGGGACTGTGTGTTTTATCCACAGAGCTCCTTGTGTCCTTGGGGCTTTACATGTTGAAAACATAAATTCTATTCAAATTCTCTTCCTGTTCTTCCTTCCCACGCTCACATGAAGCAGGTACTTTGCCGTTAGATGTCCATTTTCTGAATTGACCATGTTTTACAGAGTGTTTTGTTAGTCCAGCAAAATGAAAAAAAGGTTGTGTGTGTTTGTTACTTAGAGAAGGAAAAGAAGTTTTTTCTTCAAATTGCTGATCCTGTGATAATTTCCAAGTACTGGGGCCCCAAAAATGCTTTTAAAAGCATTGGAGGGATAATTTAGTGGCAGATCCTTTGTGACTTAAAACAGTTCTGAGGCGTAGATTCTCCTAATCAGCCCCCATTCTTCCCTTCTTCTTGCCTAGTGGATTTGTGAATTGTATATTCGCAAATCTAGAAGCATAATTCTGTTGATTTGCCTACTGTTTTCTCAGTTTGTAACATTTACAAGTATGGTTCATACTCAAGCCAAATTTCTGTTATGTTGACTACACCTCGTACTCTGTGGGTCTTCTCAGGGGCAGAAATCTCAAGGCAATTATTCTGGGTTATTTTAAAGGTTGCAGTCATTAACAATACTAGTTTGTTGTTGTTTACGCTTCAAAAATTTATATTCTTATGAGATAATACAATATTTCCTTGGTTTTACAATTATTTGAACCCCTGAAATATAAATCTGCCTCCTCATTTATTCACCGTAAGTACTCAGTATTCTATTAAATTATAAACTGCATTTTTCATTAATAAAAGCGTAGGAAGACCTTCCTTGAAGCTAGCTTGGGGAATTTTTTGGGGGGGAGGGGTGCGTGCCTAGGGCTTCTAACACATGGGTCTTTGTGCCACCTTTGTTGGTTCCATATATTTTCTCATATTGTATGAAGGATGGTGTGTGATATTAATCACCAATAAACTTGTAGTCAATAGGGCTCACACCAGAAGGTCATGGAAGTCACTGGTAAGAGTCCTGGAAACTGAGACAAATCCCTCCCAAGTAGAATAATGAAGTATTTGGGGAATTTCAGTAATGCAAAGCATAAAAATAATGCTCTTCCATGTGGTATCGAGAGCTAGTGCTTTAGATTAAAATGAATTCCACTTCCTCAAAAGCAAGCTGTATTTTCAATTATCAGAAGGCCTCAGTTTTCTTTGCTCTTGAAATCCCCTGAAGCTGTGGTTTCAGAAGGAGCTGCTCTGCCAAGTGCTCTGCCAGCACAAAGCTCCTGAGGAGTTTTCAGTTTCAGTACTGAGGTAATATAGATCCTCCCTTCCTCCCTTACCCTCTGAGAAAAATTGGACTAAAATAAATCTAAAACTAAAATCAACATAAAATTATTTTCATGGAGGCTGTGAATTGAAAAATGGTGGAGATAAGAAAGGGTCAGGATAAACAGATTGAGGGAAACCTTCCCGTTAAATCAAAGCAGATGCCCTTGCTAAATTTAGGCCTGGACTTGACCAATGATTTAGGCCTGAAGGTTTTAACTGCACTTAAATGTAACAGCCTCATTGAAACAATTTAATAAAAGATTATATGCAACAACAATAACTCCTTAAAGGGGCAAGTCAGTTACAAATCTAAAGTACTTGAGAATGTAAGAGAGGAACATTCATAGTCCCTTTGCTGTAGCATACTCAGACTCACAGAGATGTAAAGGAGTTTGTACAGGGTGGAAAATGCCCCTGAGTTCAGTGAAGTACTCCCATGGGATGCCTTTTTATCTTCTCAGTGGGCCAAGGGTTGAGCCTTGAGGAGTGAGGCACCAACCCTCGATCCATCATTGGTGTTCAGCAGTGGTCTTCCACAGACAGTGAACTTGAGAGTTTGCTGGTTCTAAAGAGGTTGTCTGGTTTTAAAATGCAAAAAAAACATGAATCATTCTTCTCACTGAAATAGTTTTGGGTTTTTGTTTTTCTTGTTTTTTTCAGGTGTTTATTTTGAAAAGGTGTTAAAGAGTTCAGATACTTCCTTGTGGGTGAGGAACATTCAGCTGTACTTATCTGGGATTGTGGTGAATTTATTTGTTGTGTATATGTCAGATGGAGCCAAAATTCTTGAGAAAGGGTTTTTCTATGGCTACACATACTACGTCTGGTTTGTTGTCCGTAAGTATCTTGTGGCTTTTATCTTTTGACATTGTTTTTCTTCTTTAACAATGATACAACTGATTGTAGGAAGCTACAAATTCAGTCTGACACACTCTGAACTGTGTTTTGAGGGATTTTATTTAAAAGTATCATTTTCTTGGAAGTTATTCACTTATTCAGTTTAAAATTGTGCTGAAACAGCAGCCTAAATAATTGACTAGCAAGTAGATCATCTTTAAATGAGTTATATCTTATTTACTGGATGCCACACAGACATCCCATTCCACTGAATGATCTGTTAAATCATAAATTAGGACAATGTAGCGCAAAGTAGGAGCACACTCCACACAGTGGAGTAAAATGCATAATTTCAAGAGTAACACACTGCACCTTAATTTTCTTCCCAGTTCTGGCCAGTGTGGGTGGCCTCTACACCTCGGTGGTTGTTAAGTACACAGATAACATCATGAAAGGCTTTTCTGCAGCAGCAGCCATTGTTCTCTCTACTGTGGCATCAGTCATCCTCTTTGGCCTCCAGATAAGTAAGTGCCTTTTTACCTTTGATTTGATGGCTGTGCTTGTTTCCTACCTGCCCAGCCTGCTGCACACAGCTCATACCAAGGCCATCGTTTATGCCCCCCCTCAAGTTTTTCTGGTTTTAACTTCAGTTCTTCTCCAGGACTCCTGTTCACTAATGCATCATCGGTCCCTGTTGTGGTACACAAAGGTGCCCGATGACTGTGCTTTCAAAGGCATCGGTGCTTTGTTCTTTCAGAGGTATCTACAACTTCAAAGAGAAAGAACCTTTCTGGTTTAAACAGCTTTATGTTTATGCATCGCTTTCTGATGCAGTTAGTGTGTGATACGGCTGTTAACCTGAGACTGCTATTGATGGGTTATTATTTCTCGTTGGGTTTAGTAAAGCCAGTGCCAAATTAATTCCTCAGCTATCTCTTCAAGGGCTTTACACAGCCCTGATGAGTTACACCCACTACTGCATTACCTTTTACCTTCCCCATCTGCTGTGGAGACCCGCATGCAAGAAAGTCAAAGAGCAGCTGGGGCTGTGACTGACTGATGTGGTGAATGTCTTTGAGAGGAAACAGCAGATGGCTCTGGGCTGTTCTGCAGCTACACAAAGGATTTTCTCCCCAATCAAGTCTGTGTCTGATACTGTGCCCAGCACTCCTGCTCACTCCTTCACTGTTTAATCCAAAGATGGTGTGGGAAAATGGGGGGAAAATTAACTTTCTGATGTAGTATTAGTGAGATAGAAATTAAGGAATGTTTGCCTAAGGAGAAAACAATCAGTGTTTTGCTGCAAAAGAGCACCATAAAGCAAGGGACAAAAAAAAAATTTAAAAACTTACTTGGGCAGTGTTTTCTTGACAGCTGTCACAAATTAAACCTGAATTAATGAGCTTTCTGTGAAAGCTTTATTAATAGAGTTTCTAAACAACCCTGTCTAGACATGGGAAGGCAAAATGGTGTTATCACAGGCTACTTCATATCGACTGGCTTTTTGTGATTAAGTTTATTGTAATGTAAGCCTGTACAAATAGCACCTGGGGCTGCAGGAGATACTTCACTTTCTTTTACAACGGCCACCACTACTTTCTTGCTGAGAAAGAGACCAATTGGAACCCTGTAGGGATTGTAAACACTCAAGAGATCCTAGTGACAGAGGATGAAGCTAAATGCTGTGACTTATCAATAGTTTGCTGTCTTTTTTAGTTTTGGGTAACTTCAATACTATCATTCAGATATCATAATTTACATGGTTTGCTGAAGGTTTCTTACGTGAATGTATTTATTTAAACTATTTTGTCTTCTTTCAGCTGTTACCTTCTCCCTGGGTGCTCTCCTGGTGTGTATTTCTATTTACCTTTATGGATTACCTTGACAAGACACCACAAAACTCCAGCCCTCAGAGACTAAGAGCTCAAAAGAGAGACTTGCTACTGTGTGATGTCCATAAAAATGGACAGATGGACAAGAAAAAAAAGACTTCTAAAAAAACTGCCTTTTTTTTTCTTTTTCAAAATTAGCCTTAAGCTAGTCATGAAATGGTTTAAGTGGGATAGACTAAAAGCAGAAGTTAGTTCTGTTTTTCATGTGGCGTTTCCAGTGGCTGACACTGAGGCTACACAGCAGCTGAGGAGCTGGCTGGGTATTTTATGGAAGGTATTCTTCATTCACATCAACAATGAAGAGCCTCATTTACAAGGAAAACCCAATGAAGGAACTGATCACTCAATTGTATATAATGTATATAACAGAGGGAAATCGGTTCTTTGTGTATTTGATAAACTGTCTTGCTCTTTGAGGGCAGAAATGCCTGAAAAGTTTCATTAAAAAAAATTATTAAAAAAAGCAACTACTGTCACCATTTTCTATTAAAATACTTGGCAATTGCAGTTTGATCATGACAAGTTTCTCTTCTAGGCAATAAGTACAAGATGACACAACTCTACAGGGACCCCTGCTTTGAGCATCACCAACCTCAGAGTGCTTAGAGGTAGCCCTTGTTGTTTGGTTTAAAAAGTCAAATGAAAGGCTCTGAAGCTGTGGCTTTCCTTTCACTCTTTAGGTGTTTTTTTTTTTTTTTAATTGGCTGTAGGTGGTAAAGGGATCTTCTATGCATAGTACAGGGAAAGGTTTGTATTTATTCCTGTACCTCTGGCTTAAGTGTGAATGAGTCACAAAGTTTCTACGTAGAAGATCTTTTCTCTTTCAACCTCTCTGTGCATGCAGATGCTTGAAAAGGGCTCCTGTAATGCACCTTTAATTTTTCAGTGCCAACTGTGCAATTTCAAGCTCCCTCCTCATCTTCTGAGACCTTCCAGATGTTTCAAGTCTACATTGTGGGAAAACTGACCCTGGTGCATTTGGGCAAGTTGTTGGTTGACATTCACAGTGAAACTGAAATGTGACCAAGTTCATACTCTTGGCTACATTTCTTTTGCCATAAATTAAGGAGCTGGTTTTTACTTGAAAGTGGGGCACGTTAAACACAGCAGTAACATGCCTAAATTCTCTACAGTGGGAGAGGTTGGTCCCCCCTGCCTTTCACCAGCTGTTCCACCACAGTGCTGCTCTTGGGAGTCGAGGCTTCCATGGTGGAAGGTATTGCCAGGCACTTGCAGGACCTCACAGGTGCTGCTCCACCTCTCTACAGCAATGTGAGGCTCAGGGGTGCCAAGCAGCAGCTGCCACGTTTGCCTGTGTGCTCAGTGCTGAGGGAACACTGCGCCTCCTGTTCCACCAGCTGGGCAGCAGTCTCTTCTTGCCAGCCATCACCTCAGTGGGACCGAGGAAGGGCTGAGGAGCAGGGTGTGACAGCTGGCAGCTGGGCTTGGCTGAGCTTTCTGAAGGAGGAATGCAGCACAACACCCAGGAAAAGGTCTCTGCAGGGTCTGAGTAATTTGTTTTGTAACAACAGACAGAGAAGCTGAAGCCATTGTGCCATCACGCCTTGGTACACAGTGGCAACCGCAGGAATGGAGAACTTTGCCTAAGGCTGGACAATGAACACCACTTCCTCTACTGAAAGGATGTGATATTTATAGGGCAAATACACAGCAGTTCTCTTTTATGGGAAATTCCAGGTAGAGTAGTGTCTTAGGTACACTGCTGCAACCGAATGGCTGAAGAAAATGATGACAACAGCCTTGCCCCTGCAAATGGCTATGCCACACTTGGTGGTAGGATGGAGAACACAAACCTGCCACAGCAGATGGAGTTTCCAGCCTGCAGTAGCAGGACACAGACAGGAGAGGACTCATATTATTGTTGAAAAAAATAATTTTAGTAAGAGACATGACACTGGATATGGCCTCGTTACATTTGAGTTACAGGTGTAATGCCAAGAAGTTTCATTCCATTGGCTAGAACTGAGCGTGCTGCATGGAAGAGACAGAGCCGTGCCTGGAAAACAAGGAAAAAAGTAATTTTAGGGTAGTGCTACAGAATAGGGTGTGGTTCCTGGGACAGCAGTTAGATGCCGAGGTGAGAACACTGTGTGCAGCCTGTCCCTGTGCAGTGTCCCCCACTGGGACTCAGATCTACACAAAACCTGAGTATTAAGGAACATGCCAATGCTGCTGGAATTCACACCAGCTGTGGCAGCCCACTGCACCGGGGACAGAGGGACACTTTGTCAAAGGAAGGTGGAAAGGAATGCCCAGCCCAGCCTTCGGGGCAGAGCAAGCAGAGGTGCATGAACGAGAATGCAATGACTAAAAGCTGAAAGTCTTTCACGCACCAGGGGCTAGTAGAGCCTGAGGATACCGCTGGAATCCCTCCCCTCACTGTGTCTGGGTGACAGGCTGCCAAGCAACTATGGGCTGCTTTGAAAATTTCCCTCTCCTTCGTCAATGTCTGGCTGTTACACAGCTGGCTGTTTGGGAAGGGCTCTATCAAGCTTGCTCCAAAAATCATAGCTCTTGAAAGCTGTCACAGTGCAAGATGCTTAAAAATATTTTTATTTACAGTATAAGGAATGGAAGTTTTCCTTGAAGTTTGATGCAGTCAAAGGAATGAATGCCTACAGTATCTAAGCTCAAACACAGACTGCAGCTTCACCAACTCCACTGAATGTTTTCCCCCACAGCACAGATCAACACTTAAATGTTATTTCCTACCAAAATCAAATAGGTAGTTCCTTTTGAAATACATGAAAGAAAATAAGAGAGGCAATGTAATTAGTATATAATTTACCAAGTCCTTAGGGGGTCAAACATTGCCTGGGAGATCAGGAAAAAGAATTTGCATTTATTTGGAATGTCACATTAACAGTTGTCAGCCTCTGGACAACTTGGGATATGTAGGTGGCAAGAGGGAGGAGACAGATTCAGTTCTCTCCTAATTCTTTATCTTCCCACATAACCACTAAAGGAAACCATCAAAAGTCAATGAGCAAGCTAAATGCTCAAATGTTTACTCTTAAAACATTTAGAAGGAAAGGTGATGAGAAGGTGTTTGACTGGGTCTGGAACAGTTGTCCTTAGAGAATGTTGTATTTTTGGCTGATCAAGCGGAGCAGCCCTTTCCGGCAGGCACAGCTGTGAACAGCAATCCCTGCTTTCCCAAAGCGGTTCTGCCCTGGGAGAGCCTGGCTGCTGGCTCTTCCGCCTGTGGGTTTGTATTCCCCCCGAGTAATTGACACAGCCGGGCTGGCAAAGCCCCCCGGGCTCCACCCCAACCCCGCTGTGCCGCACCTGTGCCACGGCGGGGGCGCTGCCTTTCACGGGGAGGGTTTTGTGTGCCACGGCTGCCAGATGGCTGAAAGGGAAAACACGGGAGAACGGTGAGGAGGAGCAAGTCACTTGACAAACTCAGCAGCACTGTGTGCTACAGAAAGCAGCAGAACTGGAAGAGCCACTCACAACTGCAGCATGCCACAGGCGCTTTTCTAACAGCCTCTTCACCCGGCTGAAGGAGGGCATGGTTTTCTGTAGCCTGCATGGCATTGATGGCATGCCCTGACAACTTAATTCTCCTAAAATAACCCCAAAATAATCAACCTGCTTCACACATATCTTCCCACTCCCTGCCCTCCATCCCCCCCAAATCCCCACAGAATAGTCTCAAGACTGCTCTGGGAAGATCCTTGAGAACCTACCCTATCATTCCCAAGATGCACGAGTTCTTTACACTGTTTTCTTAACTTGTTAAAGCCTTCCCCATACACAGGCTCTACAGCTTCCCCACCAAGCCTACACCAGCATTTCATGGTGCTGTCCAATCCCTCTGGGAATCAGAAACACACTATGACTTACACTAGTAACAAGCTTTGTTCATGGGCTTAGATAGTGGTTAAAAGCAGCTTGGAATAAAATTTCCTAGCTGAAATCTCATCCTTAAGACATCATTAGTCCAGCATGATTTTGGGTTCAAATATTGGGATTCAGCCAAATTATTATTTTTTCTTAAAAGCTGTTAAGTATCTCAGGAGGGTCCTGGCTCCAGCCTTAATCTCAATGATTTATTACATTATTTGCTATCCTAATTTATGTATTTCCTGCTTCAGGGAAACTATGCCACAAATTTGCATCTTCCCACTATTTTTACTCTTCAAAGCAGTGCAGATGTGAGGGCTGCAGAGCCAGCTCAGGAAGACCTGTCCTCACTGGAGACATGGCCAGTATCAGCAAACACCTTACCTCAGTGTGAGGAGGTAGCTGACAATGTGCTTGGGTTGCAGATCCTGAGAAGATCTATACAGGACCTCGTCGTACCTGTGAAGGAAGGAAAGGACTGTTTGGTTCTGAAGTGGTACAAGGTGTACTCAGAAGGCTCATCAGACTTGCTTAAGTCAGAACAAGCACCCAACCACAGCTGTAGAATTAGCAAAACTAATCTTCTGAAGCAGACCTAAGCCATGTCATTAGCACACAATAGATTATTCCTTCCTTGCTCACTTATTATTGAAGGAGATTGCTTCTGCTCTTCATCATGCAAACAGCTCAGGGAGGCAGGCTACAGCAAAGAGAACACAAGAGCTGTATATGTTCCTGGAACATTATGTCTGGTTTTATATCTCAACACTAACTGTACATTTCTAGGAGCAAAAAACATGTGTTAAATAACCAAGGAAGTCAAAATAATCCCTTTGAGGACTTTGCCTTTAGTAAATGCAGCTTAGAATTTTAAGTAGATAAAAGGAATCTTGCAACATTAGAAAAAGACAAATTCTGGAATACAGAATCACACAGAATGGTTCAAGTTGGAAGAGACCACAGTGGGTGATCTGGTCCAACCTACCTGCTCAAGCAGGGTCATCCTACATGACTTACACAATACACTTGACTTTGTAAGACAGTATTAAACAGGGTAGTACAGTCATGACAGCTGTGGTTTTTTCTTCATGTGTTTCGCTATCCCCTTTTCAAAGCCTGCAAGAAGGTGCCAACACCTACAGGGCTGAAGAGATTTCAAATTCAAAGTAGGGACTGGACTTCCTGATCTCTGCTCAGCTCCCAGGCCCATCCCTGCCAGCATGTCCAAGCTGAACTGCCGTGGAATCTTCCATTCTAATTCAAGCTGCAGAACTGGGGAGCACACGGTGATAACAGCTCAGCAGTCATGTAAGAGTATAAAAAAATCCCAAGGAACAGCTCACATGTTTTCTGTGAAATACAATGGCACTGCATAAATAAGACACTACTGGTTTTGCTGAGAGCTGGCTGGTCCTGCTGCTGCTCAAGAGAGCAGCAAATGATGGACTGCAGGCAGACCTCTGGAGGCAATTACAGGTAATGGTAGGGCTCTGCAGACCACACATGCATGTCAAAGGACCCACCTGGAGCACTGGCATGACTTTTGAAAGTCCTAATTGTATTCAGGTGGCCTCAGGAAGGTCTTAATATGGTCAAAAAAGTCTTTTCTGGCACTCTACAGTGTGCAATGCAGCATATAGGAATTCTCAGTAGGAATTCCGAAAGCTTTGGTCATTTCTGACTCCATCACAGGCTGCACAACATGGAGAACTCCCTTGTCTCCATAGTTTAATTACACATCTATGAAGTAATGAAAA